GGGGTGGGAGGTGGGAGGTGGTCCCTACCACTGACCTGTGTCGGTTTTTATTCTTTCGTTTTTTATGGCTGCTGTGATGACTCCCTGAGGAAGTAGAAGCAGCCTTCTGAGGTTTCACTCCCTGCACAGATCCATCCAGATCCTCAGGGTCCTCCTGGGTGGGCTCATTTTCCTGATTGTGGAAGTCTGGAGAAGTATCACTTTCTGTGCCACTTCCTGGTTCCCCTGGAGGGAAGAACACAAATCCCCAGAGGCATCATCAGCACTCAGGCAATCTGTCAGTCAGGAAAGATGTTTTGAGCACTAATATATGGATAAACTCACTGCATAAAGGTTATTTAAACACAGAATATACTACTAGGGTTAATAATTATACAGGAAGGTGAGAGATGACCTTGGAAAAACTTCCTATAGTTGGCCCTGGTTCCTTTCCCAAATCATACAGGAACCCATCTTTCTATCAAGAAAAGAGACCCATGAGAAGAGCCCCATTACCTAAATTACTCTCAGAAATCTTAAGAATATTATTTTTGAAAAGAGTAATAATATTCTTCAGCTGACACATAGTCCCAATTTTACAACATCCCTTAGAAATATTAAATATGCAAGGTCAAGAACAATTTGTATAAATATATATATTTTAAGAATAATTACAGCCCAGCCTGGTGTGGCTCAGCAGTTGAGCATCGACCTAGGATTCAGGAGATTAGGGTTTGATTACCGGTCAGGGCACATGCCCGGGTTGCGGGCTCCATCCCCAGTTGGGGGCGTGCAGGAGGCAGCCAATCAAAGATGACTCTCTCATCATTGATGTTTCTCTCTCTCTCTCCCTCTCCCTTCCTCTTCCTGCAATCAATAAAGATATATTAAAAATAATAATAATAATAATAACAATTACATATATTTTGGTAAATGTAAACTTTCTTTTTTCCTAAATTTCTTGAAACTCTAAATAGAAAAGGATGGGTAAAGATTTTCACCTTACTCAACTATTGAAGGATCCTAAACATGTATACTAGCTGTTTCTAAAATTTGTCAAAAGGGGTTATGTAGACAGTAGGAGGAGGAGCCAGTTTTCTTCTTTTGATGTCTTTATATTATAAACTGCTGGGAAGAGACTTTGAACTGAGTAGCATATGGACACAAGAAGTAAAAGAAGAGATGGTCCCCAAAAAGCAAGAGAAACAACCAGATCTCAGAAATCATGAAATCCTATTTTTGATCACTTCATGAAAGCAACAGAAGAGGGAGCTCTAGGGCTATAAAGCTAGAAAAAGTATACTGCTCAATCTGGGCCTTCTACAATTCAGGAAAAATGGATTTCATATAAAAATTAGCAAAAGAATTTCAAAACTTATCACATAACACTACAGTAACCAAGAGCGTGTAGTACGGGCATAAGAACAGACATACAGAAACCAGGGAAGCTAATTCAAAGGCCAGATATAAACCCTTAACATTTATGATCAACTGATTTTCAACAAGGGCCACACACATTTCCTGACTAAAGCTGGCAGGAATCTGAGAACCTTCACTGGCCACTGAGCTGCCCGTCTAATCTGGCCCTACCAAATTTGATGGGGCAATTCAATTAAAAGACAATGATGAACAAAACAAACTATTTATTCATTGTGGGCCAGATGCTTATGGGAGTACTGAGTAAATGGATGAATTGGTCATATTCTATAAGGTAAACACACAAGTGCATACAAAACAGTGTAAATCAAATCAAAGCCCTATGGATGGAGAAGGTAACATGCCAAGCAGTAACTGATACACCAAAGTACTGATGTGGCTATTAGGTATCATAAGAGTCAGAGAAGAAAGAGTGAATTACTCAGGAAAAGCTTCACTGAAGGGGTAGAATTTAAACTGGACCTTGAAAAATGAGAAGCCAAAATAAGTACAAAAAACAGCACAAGCAAAAGCGTAGAGGTGAGAAAACACAAGGTATATTTGGGACAAATGAATCAAACAACATCATTTAAACAGAGAGCTTAAGAGATGAGAGGTGAAATGGAATGGCAGGCCAAGAGGACTCATAAATGTCAGAGTAAGTAAAGGGTTTCATCTAGGGAGACAGTACAAGGTGATAGTAAAGAGAACTGACTTGTGGCTTAACCTTTCTAAGTCTGTTTCCCCATTTGTAAAGTAAGAATTCTTTCCTTCATGTGCTGAGTATCTCTTATGGATGAGGCATTGGGCTAGACAGTGGACTACCACAATGTTCCCAATTTTCAAGGATTAGCTTTAAGGACTAAATGAGATAATGAAAGTAAAGTGTTTGCTTGCTGTCTGGAACATAGTAAGTGTTGAATCTCAATATCCTTGAGATCTATAAGCACGCAAGTCAAATTTTAAACAAACAGTAAAGACTACTTGCAATAAAATGGTTGTTAGCAGGATATAACAAGGCAGAGCCATCAGGAATCTCTGAACAGAGAAGTGACATCCAGCAATGAATATTTATGGAGATCTCTGCACAAATCCGTGTTTTAGGATTATTAGGCTAGAAGTGGTTTATAAGAGGAACTGGAGCCAGGGAAACGAAACACTGTTAAAATACAAAGTGAGACCATAAAGTAAGAATAATTTTCTTCCTTGGCTCAAGGAAGCAGAAGAGGAGTGATGGCAAAAGGGCTGGGTGACAACATCTCAAAGTGCATCAGCGAGTCAGTTAACCAGATGGGGCTGCCACCATGGAAGAACACATAAGCTTGTTTCTCACTGACATAAAAGTAAGCAACTCATTTTTAGAGGGAAGAACATCAGATTTTGATTAAGTTTAATAAATCTACAAACGAGACACTCTACTTATTAAAAGACAGAAGTACCCATTCAATAGTGTCAAGGCAATAACTTCTGAGCAGCACGAACGCTTAAAGGAGGCAAGGAAGGTGCCCAGAACAAGGCTTCACGCAGTCGTACACTTACACACTGGAGCGGCATCAATGCTGAGGGGATCTGGTTTGACGAAAGCTCCAGAGGAGTCCAGTGAAACAAACATTAGAGACTGTGCTGCTCCTTTAAAGGAAACTGGATAAAATCTGCCTGTTTTTTCTTATTTTTTTAAAAAAATATACAATGGACCTGGCCAGGCGTGGCTCAGCGGTTGAGCATCAAAGTAGGATCCAGGAGATCACGGTTCAATTCCCAGGTCAGGGCACATGCCCGGGTTGCGGGCTCAGTCCCCAGTTGGGGGCAGGCAGGAGGCAGCCGATCAATGACAACTCTCTCATCATTGATGTTTCTATCTCTCTCTCCCTCTCCCTTCCTCTCTCTGAAGTCAATAAAGATATATTTTAAAAATAATATATACACAATGGTTCACAAATCTGCATAACGTTCCCCTTTAGGGACCATGCTAATATACTTTATTATTCTAATTGGGTACATCTGAAGCCAAAGAAAGCAGAAAGCAATGCATTTCTGAGGAAAATTTTCAAAATGGTTTGAAAATAAAATGCCAAAAGTGCAAAACTCTAAAATCCTTGAGATCTAAGGATATGCAAGTCAGAATTCTAAGAGAAAAGAATGTTTGCTTCATTGCCACCAAAGATCAAAAACAAAAATCATTCCACAAGATTTGTTATACAGAAATTCTGAGATTTATCTGAGATAAATTCAGAGGTTATTAGAGATTCTGTACAAAGGAAAAGATATGAGGCGCAACATAGACCATTCCTTCCTCTCGGAATTAAAGCTTAGTTTGAATCACCTGGGCCATTCAGGGACACTCAAGCCTTGAACTTGGTTTAAAGAGGTCCCCACGCCTAGCAGAAGCAAACATTAAGTCTTCTCTGGAAGACAGTACCTTCACCCTCGCCCTCAAATTATTCTATGAATACTTTTAATAATAATGAGCAGCACACTAAGATAACCAAGCACACAGGGAGATTAGATTTCATGAGTAATGACCAGTAGAAACAACAAACAAAAACAGGTCATTAAGGACTTCAGAAATTGAAATTAAATACAGACTATAGAATAACTATGCTTACTAGACTTAAAGAAGTAAAAGTTTGAAAATAAATGCAAAGAAAACTACTGCAAAATTACATAGATCTTAAAAATAATTAAGTAGAATTTATGACAATAAAATTGTAATAACAAAAGATTTAAAATCAAGGGAAATCAGATTTAACTGAAAAGAGAATTAGAAACTGGTAGGTCAGGAAAAAAATTACTCATCCGCAGCACAGAGACAAAAAGATATAAGATACAGAAGAGATAATAAAAGACGTAAAGGTTTAAATGAGAAGGTTTAACATGCAGTGAACCAGAGTACCAGAAGGAAAGGAGAGAAAGCATGTAACAAAAGCAGTATCTGAAAAGATAACAGCTGGGAATTTTCCAGAAATGATAAAAAATACCAAACACAGTTTCAACAAGTCCAGTGAAACCCAAGCCAGATAAATAAATAAAAATTCAAACTTAGACACATTGTAGTTAACTGCAGAAAATCAAGACAAATATAAAATCTTATAAATAGCAGTGGGAAGTGGTAATGATAAAGGTAGTGAGATAAAATGCAAAAGAATTACTTTAAAGGGGCTCTGACCATTTGAATTAACAAACTCCAGAATTTGTGTAATTCTCTACACTGCTTTATTCCAAAAAAAATTCCAGGCAGCTTGCCAAGATTCATATAATGTAATCCACTAAAATAAATTTAAAATGAGATAAGGCAAAGAAGAATAGAAGAGGAAAGTAAGCTGGATATAGTACTAAGATTCAGCCTAAAATGCATGCTATAAATTCCTCTTTGCTTTCTAGAGGGGCACCACAAATTCAGCTTTAAGCATTTTAGCACCCATACAAAGAGGGGCAGTCAAGTACAAGATTTTCAGTAAAAAACTAGTCCTTCAGAGAAAACAACAATTTCTAAAGAAGATGATAATCAGAATGACAATAAACAACATTTGCAACATCTCTCACAGTAAATAGAGACACATTTTACAAGACCAAATGCAACTTTATAGGGAAGACCAAGGAACACAAATATGATATACTGCCGAGGTAAGGTTCAATCCAGGAGGAAGATCTTAGGGTAGGATGGTCTGCACACGCTTCAGAAACTCTGTAATACGTAAGTACTTTCTCAGGAAAGCTTCTGAAAGGAGTGGCTTTAAAAATCTTTTCCTGACAGCTAGCTACTCTGTGTGAATAACTAGGTACAGAGCATATATACTAAACTACCTACTAAGCCAGGGGCAGGATAACAGGCTCTCTGTGAAAACTGAGGAGTCAGACATCATTCCATCTCGACTCACAAGAGTAAGATCCACAGTGTTCCTTACCAGTCTCATACTCTACAAAGCAGATGAAACGGCTCTACATTCTACAAGTGGCATTAGCTGGAAAGCAATAAGATTTAACTGACAGTCATAGCAAAAGAAAAATAAATTTTAAAAACTTGGTACAATTGATAAGGTTGGCAAAAAGAAGCAGAGATGCCTGCAAAGTTTTGAATGATGGAGAACAGAAAAATTGGGCAGACATGTTTTAAAGGAAACAGAACACCTCAGTTTTAGACAAAATGTTCGGGTTTGAATATCTGAATGGAAATGTATAGAACACATTTTCTAGAACTGTATCACTCAAGCTGGGGAAAGGGGTTAAGGATAGAGCTAAAAATTTAGAATCTGTACACAGAGATAAAAATTGAAGTCGTTGAGTGGTTCTAATTCCCAAACCACCAAAATCCCTTCGCCTCAAACCACTGCCCCAAGGCAAACAAAAGAACTGGATCCCACAAGATATGCCATCAGAAAGAAGTACATGCAGCCACAGTACAAAAAGCAGGCTATATTTAAAAATTTTTTTTAATCCTCACCCAAGGATATTTTTTCCATTGCTTTTCAGAGAGAGTAGAAGGGAGAGAGAGAGAGAGAGAAAGAGAGAGAGAAACAGAAACATCAATGTGAGAGAGACACATGGACTGGCTGCCTTCCTCTCTTGCACCGAATGGGCCAGGATTTGAGCCTGCAACCGAGTTAAGTGCCTTGGCTGGAATCAAACCCTTCAGTCCTCGGGCTGGCACTATAACCACTGATCCAAACCAGCAGGTTGTATTTTAAAGTGACCCAGTGCACAGGGAGAACATTCAATTCAGCTACAGAGTCTGACTCTGGATAAATGTACAGGTCTATATCCCATAACTAGAAATTAGAACATAATTACGCTGTATGGCTCACTTACAGAGAATGACACAATTTCTCTACAAAGTAAACACCATCTACTCTCTATTTTATATTGAAGAACACACAGGTATGTTCTGTTTTCCTAAAAATTATTAAGTTGAGAATTTCCTAAAAATTATTAAGTTGGGAACATGGGGATTTATTAGATATGTCTGAAATTTTCCATGATAAAAGGTTTTTTTAACTTATAAAAATTCCCAAAGACTTAACAGGAGTGAAGACGTATCTTTCTGTCTTTGAGCAGCTAACATCAACCTTCCTGTGATACAAGAGTCAGGAAGGAAGGACATGGTCATCTCTTTCTCGTAAGAAAGACATGATTAAAGATACAGTAAGAGGTTATTAACTTCTAGAAAGAAGACGTAAAAGGGTAAGAGATGCAGTCTTCAGATACACTGCTGGATAGGCGTAAAAGATAGGAACTATGGTAGCTTCAAAATAAACTGATGAAAAAGTAGAAAAGTAAACTTACTCTTTTCAATGAGCTGGTCCTGAACTCCTGCCAGTGCACTTACTGCCTAAAAGAAAAAACCACTAGTTATAAGAAAAATTATCACAGGGAGAGCACTCACAGACAGAAGGGAAAGAGAAAACTCACAGAAATTTAACTGAGGCTTTCCTCAACAAGAGGCCACATAAAGATCCCTCCCACTTCACTTACAGCTGCTGAAGTAACTGAGGATTTACTGAAGAGCCTCTCAGCTTCCTTAAACTTCCGGTTCCTTCGATCGTTTTTGCTATTGGAGTTTCTAAAACACACACAAGGATTCGTCATGAGCACCAAGCTTTGTCTATGGCTCAGAAACTCTTTTATTACCTCTATACCACTTGGATTGACCAAAACAACCTTTACACTGAATGCCTATGTGGGGAGACAACAATGGTTTCCAATGTATAGAATGTGCTCCATTGTGGTTGGTTCATAATCAATTTCATTTTAGTATGTATGTATTTGAATGATTAAAAAAAACCCCACCAAACTAGCATAGACTAGTGGTATGAAGTGTCTGTTAAATAAATTTTAAAAATTTAAAGGAGCCCGGCTGGGCGTGGCTCAGCGGTTGAGCATTGACCTAGGTTCCAGGCGATCAGGGTTCGATTCCCAGTCAGGGCATATGCCCGGGTTGTGGGCTCGATCAATGACTCTCTCATCACTGATGTTTCTATCTCTCTCTCTGCCTCTCCTTTCCTCTCTTTGAAATCAGTAAAGATATATTAAAAAAAAAAAAAATTTAAAGGAAAAAAAACAGGGTTCCTTAGAAAAATGGTCTGGGACAAGAAAAGGAAAAGGTGACAGAAAGGAACAAGGTGTTCAAACTAATAGAATCATGTCAAAAGCACAAAGGAATCAGCTTAAGGAGGCTCCCTCTGGCCACATTTGGGATAAACTAAGCATCAAAAAGCATGATGGGCCCAGCAGGTATGGCTCAGCAGTTGAGCACTGACCTATGATCCAGGAGATCAAAGTTCAATCCCCAGTCAGGGGCGTGCAGGAGGCAGCCGATCAATGACTCATCATTGATGTTTCTATCTCTCTCTCTCCCTTCCTCTTTCTGAAATCAATAAAGATATATTTTTTTAAAACAAAAAAAAGAATGATGGGAGTCCTGGCCGGGTGGCTGGTTGGTTGAAGCATCACCCTGTATACCAAAAGGCTGCAGGTTCAATTCCTAGTCAGAATCCACCAGGTTGTGAGTTCAATCCCTGGTTGGGGTAGGTACAAGGCAACCGATCGGTGTTTCTCTCTCTCCCCCCTCTCTCTTTCTAAAATCAATAAACATATCCTCATGTGAAAATTTTTAAAAAATGATGGATATGTCAGTTTTTGCACTTCTCTGTATATATTTCAATAAATTAATTTATCCTAAAAAATAAACCCCTATAATAAAAAAGTGACAGTGCTAGATCTCAAGAGTAATTTTTTTTATATATATCTTTATCGATGTCAGAGAGAGGAAAGGAGAGGGACAGAGAGAGAGATAGAAACATCAATGATGAGTCATTGATCGGCTCCCTCCTGCATGTCCCCGACTGGGGATCGAGTCTGCAACCCAGGCATGTGCCCTGACCAGGAATAGAACCCCGATTGCCTGGATCCTAGGTCAACACTCAACGGCTGAGCCATGCCCAGCGGGGCTCAAGAGTAATTTTTAAAAAACAACCCATGAATATCTGGTGCTACAAAAGAGAGAGATGAAGAGGATGAAAGGGAGAGAAGATAAAAAGGGAAGGCTCTTCTTTCAGAATACCAGTAATAAATGTAAAAGGAATAGTAAAATTGGAATCACCATTTTACAACCTCCATATAATAACTGATTCAGGTAGAAATCAACAATGTAGACTAAAACCACTGAATAAAAATGGGGGGGGCAGTATATTCCCACTTTCTAAAAGTATAAGCTCCAAACTTATTTGTTAATTACAAAGAAAAGAAATAAACTTTACAATGGAGAAATCACATGGTCAAACTTAGCAGCACCAATAATGGGACATTCTGACACTATGTGCTTACTGATAAAATAGAGGTAAACAAAAGAGGTACACAAATCACTAATGCAACATTTCTACCAAAAATAGTTAAAGGGTCTCTCATGAGGTCGAAATAAGAAAAACCTGGAATTGGGACATTCTACAAGACAATGTCATAAACAACTACTTCACCACCAAAAAGGATGGGAGACACTCCTAAATTAAGAGACCAAAGGGATATCACAGCCAAATGCAATGAAAAATTCTGACTGGATCAAAATAAGGTAGCAAACCATGTTGTGGACAATTAGGGAAAATTGAATAAAGACTGTATATTAGGTGATACAATTATTAATGTAGTGATAATTTTCTCAGCATAATTATGGCTAGGTAAGAAAAATGTTCTTATTCTTAGGAGATAATTACTGACATATTTAGGGGCAATGTGTCATGGGATCTGCTTCTAACTTTTAAAAGGGTTAGCGAAAAAACCCAACAAAGTATAGGGGGGAAGAGGAGACACAACCATAAAGGAGTAGCATAACAGAGATCTTTATGGTGATGGAACAGTTCTGTATCTTGATTGCAGTGGTGGTTACAGGAATCCACACATATGATAAAAATGAGAGAACTACAGACACACATTGTACTAATGTCAATTTCCTGGTTTTGATATTGTTAGTATAGTTACATAACACCCACTGGGGGAAACTGGGGGAAGGGTACATGGGACCTCTCTGTATTTTATTGTAACTTCCTATGTACTTATAATTATTTCAAAATTTAAAAAAAATTTAATGCAGATATAGGTGTATGTTTATATATATTATAGAGAAAGAGAAGAGAGAGGAAACAAATGTGGCAACAAGTTAACTAACAATTGGTGAATTCCGCTGAAGGGTATCAAGTGTTCATATACTATTCCTATTCTTTCACTTTTTTTCTCTTTTTCCTTTTTCAATTTTATTGATCTTTAGAGAGAGGAAGGGGGAGAAAGAAACATCAATGTGAGAGAGAAACATCGATCAGTTGCCTCTGGCACTCACCCCAACCAGAGATCAAACCCAAAACCTAGGTATGTGTTCTGATTAGGGATGGAACCTGGCACCTTTTGGTAGGTTCCAACCAACTGAGCCACACCAGCCAGGGCTCTTTCAATCTTTCTATAAATTTAAAAAATTTTAAAAAGTTTAGAAAGTTTTCAAGAATACTATTATTAAATAAATCATGGTACAGTTGGTAACAGGTATGGCAAATATTGTGAGGGTGGAACTCATGACTGATTAAAATGTGGAAAACACTACTAGAATGCTATTGTGTAAGGTATTATATGCTGTATTTCATTTAAGCCTCACACACTCCTGTGCCATAGGCAGGACTTTCCCTATCCCACAGATGTAGGATTTGTTTAGGATTACTCAGTGAGTGAGGTTGAGGCTGAGTGTGAGTCCAAGTTCAAGCCCAAACCTCTTTCCACACTACCACTTACTATAATGCCTCCCTGCAAAGTTGCTATCAAAAACTTAGAGTCCTAAAAACAACTATTAGTAGATCACAATACAAACACCACAGGCTTCTGACACTCACTTTTGGTTGGTTAGATACCTATCCCAGCCACGAATGATATTGCCATACATCTGAGTGTCTTCCAGGTAGCTTCCTTCAAAAGCATAGATCTGTCTCTCCAAGTTTGCCAGTGTTTCCTGAGAGATGAAAAACAAAGAAATGGATGCCTTTTAAATGCAAACATTAAATCTGACCAAACTGAAATCTTGCTATTAGACTTAAAAACTCAAGCACAAATACACTAAATTACCCTTGTGGAGAGATGGATGCTATGGGGAGGAGCAGGCAGATTAAAGACAGTCTAGAATTGTCCTGTTGGATCCCTTTGAGAATAGAATGAAACAGAGAGAGAGCCTGTCCCCTGAAAAATGCATGCACGTGCAAAATTTTGTATATACTTCAGGGGGTTCACGGAAACCCAAGTGTGAAGAACCCTGGCTCATGCTGACTCCACTCCCATGCAGAAATGGTATTGCTGGAGGAGAGGGAAGGGTGAGCAGCTTTCCAGCGCCAGCCAACTCGCTCCCCTCCCCTCAGAAAGGCCGCCTGCACTGGACAGCCAGTTGCTATGGAAACCTGGGAGGACAGCTTCAGGTGAGATGGGCCTCCCAGGTGCCCAAGCCAAAGACTCCGGGGGCAGTGAGGGCTCGGCCGCCAGGGCGCACGGGACCCTGAGTGCCTGTCACAATTTGTAATTCCCCAGACTGAGTCGGCATCCCTCGCCCTTCCTCTGCTAGACGTCCCAAACACATCGCATCCCTGCCCATCAGAAACCCCATTCAATGCATCTACTACTAGCCCCCCAAAGGACTGCGCTCCTCCAGCCTCCAAAGGCGAGACTGGATGACGGAGTCCC